TGAGATAAGGCTTAGCGGAGGAGGAGTTTTAGCAAAAGTTGTGACTAGAAGTTTGGAGTTCATCAAACAGAGAAACTAAAGGACAGAAATTTCTAAAATGAGGTATTTCTTATTGGACATTTTTATAATTTAGGGTTAAAGCAATTATATCTTTATCTGAAGATAAAATTGGGATGCAGAAAGGAAACAAAGGAACTGGAAAGGAAACAATTTGCACTTCTGAAAAAGAAAACCTTCCTCTCCTTTTTCTCCTTTCTCTCCTGCTCCTTTCTTTGTTCTTTTTCACTCTCTCCTTCTATTTTCTCTCACTTCCTTTCTTGCTCCCAGGGACTCTCTTCCTTCCTCCCTCCTTTCATTTACTCTCTTTCTATATGTTAAATGCATGCTATTCTGGTTGATGTGCATCTACATAGCTGACTATAAAATGAGATAACAGACCTTCAATACTGTGGTGGAGGTTGACATTACAACAGGAATGGGCCCAGAGTCAAATGAGGAGCGGTCTTGTGATGTCAATAAAGGCAGGAGACTGATACCAGATACTACTTGTGTCTTGGTATCTTATATATCTATCAGTATAGATAGATACTATATCTATCTGGTATCTTGGTGATACCATATACTATTTTGTCTCAGCAATTTTGTCTCATTGCTGAGACAAAATACCCATCATCCAAAATTAAGGAAGGAAAGGTTTATTTAGTTCACAGTCTGTGGAGGTTTCAGTCAGTTCTCAGCTGGGTCCAAAGCAGGGTGACATGACTGAGTAGCAACCAGTTGCTCATGGCTGTGGAAAACAGAAAAAGCAAAAAGAGCAAAAGGGGGAGGAGGAGGACCAAGCCTCTTTCCCTCCCTTATATTGTATGCAGGCTACCTCCCCTAGGATGGGAGTAGCACTCATGTCCCCAGTCCCAGCACTAGACAATGAACTAATCACAAACTAAATTCAGCCACCTCCTAGAAGTCTGCCCTCCATGACCACATCAGTCTTTGGGCAGGGGTTGGGGGGCATCCAGACACAAACCATATCAATTTGAACCACACCAGAATCTGTAACTCACTAGCTGTATGGATTTGAACACATTATCTCTAAATCCTACTTATCTGTTAACTTGGAGCATCAATGTTTATTAGACTTTCACTCAAGCACATGATGTGTATTAGATTAGCTGATATGCACAAACGTTCTACAAGAAAACTATTATTATCCTCTTTTTCTTTTTCTTTCTTTCTTTTTTTTTTTTTTTAAATGACAAAGAGCTTTATTTTCAGGTCATAGTCCTGGTTCCTTCTAGCTGTTGCCAACAACCCAATGAAGTGTATCTTGATTCCTGAAATGTTCAGGTCAGAAACAGCAACAAAAGGACCAAACAAGTAGCTTGTCTCAAAGGCCAGGGGTCACACTGGGAAGGTAGCTGCTCCCTGGCAACCCTGGCGCCTACATGAGGAGGGAAGGAACCAGACAGAAGGCCCACTCAGCCCTCCTCTCTCGCTTTGTTCACGAGGGAAAAAAAAAAATTGTTTTCCTATTCTTCAAAACTAGAGGCCTTCAAATCAACTGTTTCAAAAAAAAAAAAAAATTTGAAAAGCAACACTGGGAGCACACCTGTTTCTCACAGGCACTCACTTCCACAGCCCCCGTCCTGTCCCTTTATCCACTACTACGATTTCTCTCATCTTTCACATTAGAATTGGACAGGAAGAGCGATCTGAACTCAAAGAGGGAAGAACCTACCCCTATGGAATCTGCCTCACACACCAGCCAGTGAGAGGGACAGTCCTACACCCACACCCTCCTCTGCATCCACCCCAATCCTGTTCACACCCGAGTGACCGCAATCCCCAAAGCTGAGATCATGGAAGAAGGGCCCTGAGGACTTAGGACTGGAGGTGCTGTGGCTCCTCAGACGGCAGCTGGGGTTGACACTGCGGGCACCACCAGGTGAGCCTCTGGAGGCCACCAGGGGGCCCGAACGCATCCCTTAGGACCTGGTGCCCAGCTGGACACTGCTCTTTCAGGTAGACCTGTGTGTGCCGCCGCTGGCCCTGGAACTTGCCCCGGAGCCAGTCTGCACTGAACTCTACCACATGGTCCACGAGGCTCTCCAGACATGAGGGACCCAGGAGTGAGTCGAGGGAGAGGGGATGGATCCTGGCTCTGTACAAAGCTTCATTCTTAATGATGTTCCCCAGCCCTGAGAAGTATCGCTGGTCCAGGAGCGTGTAGCACACGGGCTGCGGCTGACCCAGAGCCTCTAAGGCCTGTCCTCGGTGGAACTCTTCAGACAAGATGTCACGGCACGGCTCAGCCACTGCAGTGGGGCTCCATGCCATCTGGCAATTATAAAAGGCCAGGAATCCACCGCCATCAAAGTGCAGGACCAGCCTGGGTGCCGGGTCCCGCCAGTCTCCTCTCTTGTTGGCTTTTTTTGCTCTGGAGAACTCGTTCACCCAGATGCTACCAAACAAACCGAAGCTGACCTGCAGCCACCGCTGGGCCCCAGCTGCAGGGCTGTTGCCTGTCAGTCCATCAGGGCCACCAGGGCCCTTGGGGAGCAGCTCTGCCGGCCCGGAGAGCCCATCATCAGTTTTCTGCGGCTTTGCCACGGGGTCCACCACTGCCTCTCTCTGTGCTTGTCTCTGCAGAGGCTCTGGTATGCAGCAGCTGCCCGGGGGCCCTACCTCTGCCTCTGCCCCCACATCTGCATCAAATCTAAGGAACAGCTTCTTGCCGTGTACCTGTGTATCCTGAAGCCACAGGAACTGCAGGGTGGCAGGACACGGCTTTTTACTGCTGCCCCCTGTCTTGACCACCTGCTGGCCCACAAAGGCAGAAGCCAGATGGTGGAACTTCCTCACAGATGGCCCTTCCGGCATCCTTGCAATCCCAGTTACTGGAGAGGGTGAGGCAGGAGATCAAGTCTGAGGCCAGCCTGTACAACTTAGAGAACCTGGCAGGTGGGCGCTGTGACCTCGGTGATGCAGGCCCCATCGAAGGCCGAGGTTCGGCTGCGCGCTGGGATTCTCGGGAGTTCGGAGCCGGGATGCGCAGCACCGCGAGGTCGCCAGGGGGGTCCTAGGGGGAGGCCGCCTCCACGAGCGCGGAGCCCGGTGTCCCTCTTTTTCTTTATGAAATAATGGACGCAGGCATTGTGTCTCTTTACCAATGTCATACTGATGCTTTCTATAGATTTTATTGTCATTTAGTTACAGTAAACCCCAAAGATTGGGGGGTTGACAGTTTGTTCTACTCATAGATCTCAAGGAAGGGTCATGCTCCCCCATAGAGCTCAGGCAGGGGTCACTCAAGAGGCAGAGAGGGGCAAAGTTGGGCTACTGTGGCTTCTGTATTAAGGAACAGATGATACAGGATAGGTAAATTTCTTATTATCTAGTTCGAATGATTTCAATGGGCTATGGGCACAGAGGCTGTCTCTGTTTGTCTGATTTCTAGCCTGGAGGAGGTCTGCTCCAGTGGATAGGGCTCTGGGTTATAAATTCAGTAAAGAGGGGTGTTTGTATTTATAAAACATGTATTTACTACTCTCTGAAGGGCTGATCCTGGGAGGAGCAGTCCTTCCCGGGTCCACAAGGGCCCTTATATGAAAGCATCAGAACAAAGGATATGAAAAAGGAGGTCAATATAACAGTTTTTAAGTGATGAAGCTGGAACTTGATATTGGTTTCATAACCCAAACCCAGCACCTTAACATGCTATGGTAGGAAAAATGTGAAGGTCTAGAGGACTAGATTACCTACAGTTGGAAGCCAGTTTATGGATTCATAAAACATAGTCAATCCGGTTTACTGAATGAGATCATCCTGTGTATCTTTGTACCCGAAGACTTCGGGTAATGACATCTTGAGGTGTCATTAACTTTAAAACAGTAGTACAAAGAAGAACTACTGTGGGACCAGTGGAAGGTCATGGAAGAAAGCAGCCATGGCCATGACTGTGAAAACATCACCTCATTTTATTTTAGAAGGAATTTCCAGAATCACTAATAAATACAATGAGAGCTCATGAAGTGAGGTTTTCTTTGGAATTATTTTCATCAGAGAACCTTGTGAAGAAGGGAGGTTACTCACCTTCACTGTTTCTTCTGAAGACATCTGGTCCACTGTAAATTAGTGAGGAAAACGGGCAAGAGAGGAGAGAGGGTGGGGCCACTTTGCTTGTGCTCTGTGTCAGTGCCTTTATTCCCCTTTATCTCCACATTCCTTCCTTGGAAATAGCAGCTGTCCGGTCCAGTTCATTTTATCTCCTGGCCAGATGTGGAAAGAAGAAGAGGAGGCAGACTGAGGAGGGGTACTGCTGGTGACTTGGGGGACGATCACCTGGGGTTATTTTGTAGAGGACGAGTAACTGAAGGAGAACCTGCTTTTCATTTGCTCAACAAATTAATTGCCTCTTTACACACAGATAGCTCTGATTGTTTACCAATGTATGACATTCCCGGGCTGGCCCTAGTTCTCTTTAAAGAGTATACTTTATTTTCAGGCATTGTTGAAGAAGTCAGCTAAACTCACTTTTAATTAGGAAAGCAAATTCCATTTCATTGTTCTGCTGTGGATCAGTGGTTTGCGCTGTGTGAGGATGGAGTCTAGGTAAGCGTAGTTGATGGAACCTTATAGCCAAGGTGAACCTTAATATATTTCCACTTTAATTTCTTCAAATAGTAGTTTTCTGCTAATTTTATGGGCATGAAAATAAGTGTTAATCATTTTTTGAAACCTGTTCAAGCAGATTTCCTTAAAGAACATCTTCTCTAGAAAATATGGAAAATGTAGAATTATGACTCGGTAAGTAAGTGTCACTCACCTTAATGTAGTAAAATGACTTCGAGAATGGAAACTTTAGTGGCCTTCTAAGTGTATCCTGCTAAGAAAACTGAGAGACTCTGCCAAAATTGTAATCATTAAGTACAAATATTGGAGTCAATACATTGCATTCTCTTATTGTTACTACATTACTCTTCTTCTTTCCTTTTTCATGTTTTAAAGATTTTTTTTAACATGAAAAGAAGATATAAAAACACAGATGGCATTATGCTGACCAAGACAGTAATCTACATGACAAAAATCAAAACAAACAAATTTATAAAGTAAATGTGCAGGCACTGAACAGGCACAGTACTTGATATTAATCCAGGTTGCATATGTATAAAATGCTCTGACCACAGGTTGATGCAAAATAAATTATTTATTAGAATACCAAATTGCCAGCTGTTCTGACTGCATTATTATGCTGGTATTTTGAGAGAACTTCTATATGATATGAAAAGAACTGGCATGAAACCTAAAGACTCCAAAAAATTGAACACAGTTAAAAACATATTTCTAATGGAATTCTGCATAAAACATACACAGTAAATATTACTATTTATAAACAAAAGCATGTATTTTTTTTTTAAAGTTTTGCAGAGGGTATTCAGTCAGTATACCCTGCTGGATCGACAGGGTCTCACTACATAGACTGGACTCAGAGTGATCCACCTGTGTTCAGCCTCCCAAGTGCTGGGATTACAGGCGTGCACTACCATGTCCAGTGTCAATCACCATCTGAGTGCACACCCAGCTGGGGCCAGCACAGCACGTGGGGGATTGAACCCTGGCTCCTGGGTCTGCCCTGGCTGCTGGGTCTGCCTAAGAAGACATTTTAATTTGCTGAGTGATTTGGCAGGCCCCTGCTGGATTTTTTTAAAAAAATTTTATTTTACTGATACATTTCAGATATACATAATGACTGATTCATCATAGGCAATTTGCATCTGTACATAATATATCCGAATTCTTTTTTTGTTCCAAATTCCCTTCTCTCACTTAAACTCCTGTTTCCATGCTTACTTACTAAACTTTGTTTCCATTTTTTCCCTTTTACTCTCTTTGTAAAGATTTTTCCTTTCCCCTCTCTGCCTCGCTCTTGTTCCCCTTCCCATTTTAACATTTTCTTCCTATTTCCCAGTATCTATTATACGTTTTGGTCCTTATTTACCCTTTTAGTTTCTCACACCAAAGGAACAATGCAGTACTGAGACATGTGTATATGATTTATTTCACTTAAGAGTATGGTCTCAAGGTGTTCCATTTACCTAGAAATGTCTCCGCTTGATCTTTATGACAGAGTAGTACTCCACTGAATTAAAAACACAACTTCTTTATCCATTCATCAGTTGCTAGGTATTTAGGATGGGATCAAGATTTAGTTATTACACATTGTGCTGCTACAAACATGGATATGCAGACATTGCTGTGGTGTGATGCTTTTAATTGACTCCGGAAGATATGGAACTCCAGTTTTTGGGTTTGTTTTTCTTTTGAAGAATTTCTACACTGAGTTACTCAGTGATTGCACTAGCCTACACATAGCCTACCTATGTGGATAAGGGTCCCTTTGTCCACACAGCTCTGCTAGCATTTGTTATTGGTTGATTTCTTGATAATAGCCATTTCTTTCCGGAGTGAGATGGACTCTCAGTGTTGTTTTAACTTGTGTCTCTCAAATGACCAGTGATATTGAGCATTTTTTCATATATTTATTTGACATTTGTACTTGTTCAACTGAGAAGTATGTATTCATTTTTGATTCCCATTTTGGGTTCTTTAGAAGGGTTATGATATTTTTTCACTTCTTTATATATTGTAAATATTAGTCCTTTGTCTGAGGGATAACTGGCTAAAATGTTTCCCACTTTGTAGATTCTCTATTAACTTTATTAGTGATTTTTTTTGCTGTGCAAAAGCTTGTTAATAATGTGAGATCCAAGTTGTTGATTTTTTTTTTTTTGGTTCAGTTGAGGTTTTGTTCATGAAATCTTTGCCTATACTTATGTCTTCAAAAGTTCATATTCTATGTTCTAGTAGATTTAAGTTTTCTCTTTTGATATTTACTTTTTAATCCATTTTTATTTTAGTTTAGTCCATAGTGAAAGATATAGGTCTAGTTTAATGTTTGGCATGTGAAAAGACAAATTTTCCAGCCCTATTTATTAAAGAGGCTATCTTTCTTCCAGGGAAGGTGTTTGGTCCCTTTGTCAAAGGTAAGGTAGTTGAGTATGTTTGGAATTGTTTCTGCATCTTCTAATCTGTTCCACTGATCCTCAGTTCTGTTTTTGTTGGTTTATGTGTTTGCAAGTACCATGCTGTTTTTATCATGGTGGTTTTGTGGCATAATTTCAAGCCAGAGATTGTGATGGCCCTGTCTTTTCCCAAGATTGATTTTGCTATTCTAGGTCTGTAATTGTTCCAAATAAATTTTAAGGTTGTTTTCTCTATTTCTGTCAGGCATGCTATTGGTATTTTGACTGAGACTGCATTAAATCTGTGGAAAATCGTAGAGGTATGGCCATTATCATTGTATGGGTTCTGAGCAAGATCAAGGGATATCCACTGATCTTTCCATTTTCTGATATCCTCCTTGAGATCCTTTTCCAGAGTACTATACTTTTCACTGTAATGGTCTTTTACTTCTTTCATTGGTTTTTTTTAAATTAAAAAATTGGTCTTAATGTATTTGGTACAAGGTCTCACTATGCAGTTCTGACTCATAGTGATCCTACTGTTTTCAGCTTCCCCTGGGGTGAGATTACAGACATGTGCCCCCACACTTGGTCTCAATGCTGGCTCAGCCCACCCCAGGGACATGCCTGGCATGGTGTGTGGTGCCACGGATCAAACCCCTGCCCCTGGGTTTGCCTAAGCAGGTGCTTAGTCTGCTGAGCTATCTTGCTGGCCCTTCTTTCATTAGACTGGCTCTTAAATAATGTATTTTTTGATGTTATTGTGAAAGATGTGGTTTTCTTAATTTCTCTCTTGTTGTGATTGTTATTTGTGTAAGGAATACTATTGAGGGGCTAGAGAGATAGCTCAGTATACTAAGTGCTTTCCAGGCAAGCACAAGGTCTTGAGTTCAATCCCTGATACTGAAAAAAAAAATACTATTGATTTGAGGGTATTTACTTTATATGCAGATATGGTACTTTGTTTGAATTTTAAATCGAGAAG